TGGAGGGGATGAGGGGGAGGGAGGGGGTCAAGCACTATCTTATGTAAAGTAAAATACCTGCTTGAAAGAGAAAACAAGGAATAAGTGTCTAATATGAACTGAAGGCAAGAAATCAGAAAAACACATCTGTTCACGATTTATTCTAGTCTTTTCTTCCTTTTTATTTTTCATTTTGTTGCAGCATCTGTGTCCGTTTAAAATTATTATTTAAAATAGCTTTCCCTAGAATACTTTTGATACTTCACACGGAACCAATTTGTTTTCATAACATTTCCGGATAAATCATGGGTTTTCACAGGAAGGAAGCCTCTGGTCCTTTCCAGACTCTACTGTTTCCAGATATGCAGCTTTTCCAGTACTTTTCCCCTTTCAAACCTGTGTAAAATATTCACATTATCACACAATCTGGCGACGCCGGACTGGCATAAAAGGTGATGAATGAAAAAGTAAAAATTGGCCTCCGGCCAGTTCATGCGCGGCGCAAGCCCGCGTACCGGCGGCGCTTCGCGCCGGCATGTGGAGGGGACTTCGTCCCCCCATCATGTTGCAAGGATCGAACAAAATTATCACGCTTTTGCCGGCTCCGCGCCGGCATAGACACTTCTACTAGAGTATTTAGAAAAATATTGCCAATTTCACAAAATCATAAAGTTTCACTGGAACTTTGATCGCAGGATAATAGTTAGGAAATTTTTATTAAAACCACTGGACTTTATTGTAAATCTCTTCGCGATATGTGATGAATTCGTAGATTCAGACTCGACTTACCGATATTATGAGGCATCTTCAATTAGTTAATGGGCCTCTTGCAAACTTCTGCTAGAGCAAAACTAAGAGTTGTTTCTTACAGATAATGCCTCAAAAATCACGATGAGCGCATCGGCAAAGTCTGAAATGCACTCATAACTTCGCAATCTGCCTAAGAGATTTGCGGCCTTTTGAGGTTCCCGCTTCAAAAACGATACTACGGCACAGGTTAACATTTAGTTAGAGGAGTCGTTCCATCGTCGGCAATATTCATCATGGCCGACGCCAATCCGCCAAAACACGTGTGATGGGACGAGATAACACCTGAGCAGGATTAGACCAGATAACGATCGGCGTGTTTACGTTCACATTTTCCTCGCCCGCCTTGATTGACCTTGAACTCTCCTCGAATTACGCACGGAACTGCGGAAACGTCCGCCATGATGAATATTGCAGACGATGGAGCGACTCCTCTAACAGAATGTTCACCTGTGCCGTAGTATCGTTTTGGGAGCGGGAATCTAAAAAAAAACGTTAATTTCTTACGCGGATTGTGAAGTTATGAGTGCATTTCAGACTTTGCCGATGCGCCCATCGGCATTTTTGAGGCATTATCTATAGGAAAAAACTCTTATTTTTGCTCCAGCAAAAGTTTGCAACAGGCCCATTGATTAATGATGCCTCCTATGAAAGACGATGATCCTGAAAAATCTTAGCTTTTCTACGATTCATTAGGATCCATTCGATTCATTGACATCATACTTCAGATACGATTATATAGGGTTATCCAAAAGTCACTGACCACCCCTGTAACTTTTTTCAAATTGAGATAAAAGTTTGAAACTTTCGCGATGTTCCTCGGTCTAAAGTAGCAACTTTTTGGTACCCCAAAAAGTTAGCCCCCCCTTGGGGGGGCGGGGGCTAACTTTTTTTTCAATAGGCGACCCCCCTTTTGTGATACCTCATTCTGAAGATAATAAAAAAGGAAAATTTTTGGCGAAATCGGCAGGTCAAAATGTTGTTTTTGACGAAATGGCGGCCGGTCAAAGTTCAAAAAGGCAGAAATCTGGCATCTCCGTTGTTTATTGACAGATTGGCGTTTAACTCGGTTTCCTACGGTTTTTCGAGACGAGAAAAACGATTCTGGCATTGGTTTTCCAGAAAAGTCGGTCCTTTTCAAAATGGCGGCCTAGTGCAGGAAATGGATATTTAGGCTGCTTATCGTTGGATTTGCATGAAACTTGGTATTTGGGGGTATTTCGGCACGAGAAGAACGAATCTTTCATTGGATATTTGAAATTCCGACAAATTTCAAAATTGCGGCGAAAAAATGGCGGGATATCAGTTTTACGGCTGTTCACCGATGGATTCGCATGGAATTCGATATCCTGGTGGTTTTGGCTACATAAAAAGGAATCTCTCATTAGATTGTTGAAATACTTAATAATCGATATCGAATTTCATGCAAATCCATCGGTAAACAGCCGTTAAACTGATATCCCGCCATTTTTCCGCCGCAATTTTGAAATTTGCCGGAATTTCAAATATCCAATGAAGATTCGTTCTTCTCGTGCCGCAATACCCCCGAATACCAAGTTTCATGCAAATCCAACGATAAGCAGCCTAAATATCCACTTCCCGCGCTAGGCCGCCATTTTGAAAAGGACCGACTTTTCTGGAAAACCAATGCCAGAATCCTTTTTCTCGTCTCGAAAAACCCTAAGATGCTGCATTTAACGCCGATCTATCAATAAACAACGGAGATGTCAGATTTCCGCCATTTTCAACTTTGACTGGCCGCCATTTTGTCAAAAATCAACATTTTGACCTGCGGTTTGCGGCAAAGTTTTTCTTTTCTTATTATCTTTCGAATGAGGTATCACAAAGGGAGGGTTGCCATTTGAAAAAAAAAAGTTAGCGCCGCTCCCCAAAATTTTGGGGGGACCAAAAAGTTGCTACTTTAGACCGAAGAACATTGCCAAAGTTTCAAACTTCTATCTCAATTTGGAAAAAAGTTACAGGGGTGGTCAGTGACTTTTGGATAACCCTGTATATTATAATCTTTCCTTAATCACGGTAAAAAGCTATCAAAAACCTACTTTAATGGGTAGAATGACTATTCGATGTTTTAATAGTCTTAAAACTAAACGCTTATCGCCTGGCATCGCTCAAACTTTAATTTTGGCGGGCGAATCTCCCTGCTGGAAATGGTTCACCACCCGCACGCCGAGAGCGCCACCTCCCTAGCGCGTATCCCCGTCAGTCGAAACGACAACAATAGAGAGCACCACCTCCTTGCTGCTCGTATCCTCGTGTATTTAAACAACAAAAACGTCAACAAATCTGGACGGGTTATAACGCGCTTTAACATCAATCATTAAATCAATCATGTTTGTGTAGTATCCTAATATATAATTCCGTAAGCCCGATTTCTGTTTCGAAATTGCGCCGCGACCGTCGTGCCGATCCGGGCGTCGGAGGTGCCGGCGGGACCGTCCCGGTCCCGCGGGGTCGGGAAGAATACGGGGATCGCGCGTCAGGCTCGGCGCCCCTCGCGCCCTCCGAAAGATCGCTTATCCCGTTCGTCCCGCTGGGAGATGCGCGGTTTTTCGTTTTCCCCGTGCTGTTCGTTCTCGGTCAGCTGATGACTCGGCTGCCCGAGGCGTTCGTCGTCATCTCGTCATGGATATTCGTCGTTTATGAAGAATTCCGATTTTTTCGTACAGTGCGCGTCGTCTTTTGAATTTTGTTAATATTTGTCGTGTATGAAGAATCCCGAATTTTTAGTAAAGTGCGCGTATTCGTTTTAATATTGGGAATGGATCGGAGTCGAAAACGTGGGCGTCCGGCGAAGCGTGGCAATGTTTCTCGCAATTTATCCGCGCGACGCAAAGTGCGACATGATGGCTACCTCAGTGAGATGGATAATGTACGACGTAGGGCTGAACAGGGAAATAACCTCAATCCATTTCGGCAGAGCACTGATAATTTTATCGAAAATGATTATCCGGAAAATAATTTCGGACTTTTAAATGTGAAGTGCCAGTATTGTGATGCCTTGATTATCCGGAAAATAATTTCGGACTTCTAAATGTGAAGTGCCAGTATTGTGATGCCTTGCATTTCAAAAAAGAGGAGGTGAACGGCCATTTTAACAGATGTTGTCATAATGGCCTTCTCAGACTTGCCGAGCCTGGAATCAATGACCAACTTCGCGACCTGTTCTCCAAACCCATCTTCATGACTAACATTTTGAGGTACGACAGTTGTATGGCTTTTGCATCTCTGTCTGCTTCCAAAGCTCATATAATTTTGAACCAAATCTTCTGCCAACCAAATATCTGTATTAAGTCCTCATTGTGATCCAATGATTTATCCTTTGCTCTATCCTCATGGTGAACCAGGCTGGGATCCTAAAATGGAGCATAATGGACCACGCAAGCAGCCAAATCGCAAACATGAAACCATGCTACAATTCGCGTGTTACAGGTTTGCCATTAGAACAGCATTTTCCCATATTCACCAATCAAAGAAATTATTTCAACAATACATTGTAGATTTATATGTTCGTGTCGAAGGTGAGAGGCTTCATTATATTAGAGAGCATCAGTCCGAACTCAGAGTTGAACAGTATGCTGGGTTGCAAGATTTTGTTCTGAATAAAGCAAGAGTTGATAATATGAATGTTGGAAGAATTGTAGTTTTACCATCTTCTTTTGAAGGCAGCCCCCGTAATCTTATTCAAAGATATCAAGATGCCATAGCAATTGTCCGCGTGTATGGCAAACCAGACATTATTTTGACAATGACGTGTAACCCGAAATGGTCGGAAATAACCGCTGCTTTAGCGCCAAAAGAAACTGTTGCAGATCGTCCAGATTTAGTTTCACGAGTTTTTCATAGCAAATTGGATCAATTACTAAGAGATGTATTAAAAGAAAATGTTCTGGGTAGAGTTGTTGCACATGTTTATGTAATTGAATTGCTAAAGCGTGGTCTCCCACATTGTCATCTGCTCTTAATTTATTAGCAGAAGATTTGGTTCAAAATTTAAAGTCGTAAATATGGATTGTTTCTCATGGAAGAGATGAATTAAGGACGGAAATTTTGAAACAGCGCAATGGAGATACGTGGTTTCGCACTTCAGTCGGTGCGATACGGACATCCATCAAGTTTAAAAAAATGCATCAAGTCCCCGTCACCGCCGACCAACGCGTTTGTCGATAGAATCAACAACAGGTACTATGAGCAGAGGGTCAAAACGCCTTCAATTTTTTGAACGCAATACGGACATCCGTGGAGGTTGTATAGTTATATCAAGGCGCCGTAGCAAACGCGTCCCATTGTTTATCGTTACATACGAATATAGGTTGAGAGAGGCCAGTCATAATGCCTTCAATTTTATACATACATATTTTTGGGCAAAATGAGAGACGACGTTTCTCCATTTGCGACGTTGCAGACTTCCTTTGAAATTTTATTTTTCTTTCGAGAAGCTGGTCAACATAAAACTTAAATTCTCCATGATTTTTCGTATTCGATAGCAGAAGATCTGGTTCAAAATTATATGGGCTTTGGAAGCAGACAGAGATGCAAAAGCCATACAACTGATGTACCTCAAAATGTTGGTCATGAAAATGGGTTTGGAGAAGAGGTCACGAAGTTGGTCTTTGATTCCAGGCTTGGCAAGTCTGAGAAGACCATTATGACAACATCTGTTAAAATGGCCGTTCACCTCCTCTTTTTTGAAATGCAAGGCATCACAATACTAGCACTTCACATTTAAAAGTCCGAAATTATTTTTCGGAATAAATTGATTTTTCCAGATTATATATTTAAATTGTTATTAAATAATGATAAATTCAAAATTCCAATTTCATTTTCCAAAATTTCAGAGCATGTTATATCTTCTTTCAAAATTTATTGTCAATTCAAGTTGTTATTCAATTATAATAAATAACTTGAACGTGGTTGTTCTATGATTTCTTACGAGCAGTTCCCTTCCAGTGTTTAGCGGCCGCGTAGCGGCCTCAGGCCCCTAGTTATATTATATCTGTGTTCAGTACCTCGTAAAAAGGAACCGCGAAAGATGGAATCTGCCGGGATTCTAAATTCATTAACAACAAACATATTAGTTTCTAATAAAGATCTAAGTGTCAGTTCTTGCGTTAGCTTCGATGATTCATAGTATGTAATGTAAGTACCTAATTAGTCGTCTAATTTTGCTTGGTGTATACCTATGGAGTAATTTTGGAGATAGTATATGATGCATTATATAATGCATTTGAATTCCTAGGTTTCACCTGACTCAAAGCGTTTGCTGCTAATATCTAGGAGCGTTCGGCCTCATTTATCGGAGAATTGAGCGTTTCCTATCGGCCCCTCTGCAATTATGAGATTAGTCCAAGGATCCTTTAGGAACTTAAATTAATGACTCAGGTGGTGCTTTTGAGCCAACTTGCAAAGAATTAAAGGCATTTTTTCAAAATCTACAGTCCATGAGCTCTCCGTGTGACCGAAGTGCTCTCCTCGCTATATGACGCGTAACCCTTCAATTTTTAGTTTAGTCCAAAGACCTCGTAGGAACTTAAATTAATGAACCAGGTGGTGCTCTTGTGCCAACTTTCGAAGAATTAAAGGCATTTTTTTAAGAATTTACAGTCTTTGAAAATGAGCTGTTTGTGTGATGTCGCGGAGCAAAGTGCCCTATTTTTGGGCCTCGTAATCCCTTGAATTTTGAGTTTAGTCCAAAGATCTTTTAGGAACTTAAATTAATGACTCAGGTGATGTGCTTGATGCCCACTGTTAAAGAATTAAAGGCATTTTTCAAAATTTACAGTCCTTTTAGGAACTTAAATTAATGACTCAGGTGATGTGCTTGATGCCCACTGTTAAAGAATTAAAGGCATTTTTCAAAATTTACAGTCCTTCAAAATGAGCTTTCCGTGTGATTTTGCTAAAAATTGACGATGTCCCCTAGCCCCCCAAATTTTAGCGTACCCCAAAATCGTTTGACGTGCATAAGGAGACCATAGATATGATGTTCTGTGCAAATTTTGAATGAAATCGAACAGATAGATTTTGAGATATCGCTGTAGACAGATTTGGGGGACGCCTGAGGGACGGACACACATTTCTTCAAGTATGGTTATTTTGACTACAGGGGCCTTAGAACGTCTAGAAATGATGAAATTTCAATTTTTTTTTTTTTTTTTTTTTTGAGAATGACAATACTTCCTCTCTACCCTACGGGAGCGAGAAAGTAAAAAGGGAAAACGTGAAATCCTTCGAAGTTCATAATAATGATGATACTTAGATTAAACTTACGAGAGAGTCGCTTGTCCATGTACCTGAAACAAAAAACAGAAAATGTAGTGGGTAATAAATGGATTTAGTAATGATAATTTTATAGAAATAAATTATTAAAACATGATGTGTTGCTGTTAACTGTTATTTGTCGAACGGTTCATACACTTAACTTCATCCGATTCAGCCTCAGTGATGTTTCAACAGATCTACCTGTGTTGCATTTCAGTGAATCAGGGTTGACGATATTCATTACCGAGACTGGATCACATTAAATTAAAACACACAAGCACGCGCTCAAGTTGGCGCAACTTGAGCGCGCTCCTTTTAATACGATCCGAGTGCCGGTGAAAGCTTGCGAACCGGTTGGCTTAGTGGCAGCGCATTTGCTTATGACACCGATGCGATGGTCTGGGGTTCGATCCTTGACCACACGAGAAAACTTTTCACAAACGATTAATTGGTTTTTTAATCGCTTTATCACAACATATCGACGGTGAAACTACCAAACCACGTATCTCGTTTGCGGTGTATAAAAATCTACGCTCGCATTTTATTTTTTTGAAGTAGACCAAATCAATATCATTCCTTGAAATTTTCACAGAATTTTCTCCGCACAAAGAGGAAAAATTACAGAAATTTTCAAGACTGGACGTTGAGTAGTTTTTCATTTAAAAAATAAAGTATGACAGGAAGTCTACGACGTCGCAAACCGAGATACGTGGTTTGGTAGTTTCACCGTCGATATTGTAAGTCACCTAGTACACATTATGATTTTTTTTTTTATTTTTCGCCAATCATTTAACAGGGTATCAAGTTTTTGTCATTTTGGAAAATCCTAGTGAAACCCTGCTTTTTCCTGATTTTTTACAAGTAAATCCTGATTTCATAAATTTTCCAAATCCTAAAAGAGGATTCGAGCAGTCCATTTACAGACATGCTCCTCAGCACTCACGCCTCTGTGCCTACACAAATCAAATGATTTGTTCTGACCGTTATTTATATAAAATGCAGTTTTTTATGAGGTGTAGGTCACTAGTATTTTTTGTATGGATTTTCCCATACTGGCGAGAATCTCATTTGAGGAGAGTTGGGTGTGGGTAAAGAAATCGGGCCTGTTGTCAGCGCCACTACCGGTTTCACGCTTGTTAGCGATCATCAGGTGTGCATAGACAGCCAGTCCCGATTTGAAGCTCGAACACTCTGAGATGCCGTGCAAATCAGAATGCCCAACTCCGGCAGGAGCCACACTAGCAGCGCGGCTCACGCCCTCTACTGTTAGCCACCCTACAACTCCTAAGATTTACTTCTAGCGGCTAGCCGCAACGCGACTAAAAAGCCAACCCGAAGGCCTCCAACGGAGGAAAATCGAGCAGTCCATTTACGGACATGTTGCTCAGCACTCACGCCTCTGTGCCTATACAAATCAAATGATTTGTTCTGACCGTCATTTATAAAAAATGCAGCTTTTTACCCACACCCAACTCTCCTAAAATGAGGTTCTCGCTAGTATGGGAAAATCCATACAAAATATATTAGTTACCGATACCTCATAAAAAACTGCCGACCAAAACCAATTTCACCCCAAAATGACCGAAAAACTGAAAAAATTCCCAAAATGTATAACTTTTTACTCCTAAATTTCTATACAGCGCCAAAACTATTGGTTTTATTGCCAAATGATGCGGGACCAAATTTTTAGAGGATAAAATTTTGCTACAGAGAAGTTTATTTGGAGGATCATATGGTGACATTGGACCCCAGAAAATTGCATCATAAAAAAATTGATAGTTCGCATCAATCGCGGATTTCATGAGAATGACCGATTTTCCTCTTGAAGCGCTCAATTTAGAGCAAACTGTTACTAAACCAATATTTTAAAACTAAACCAATTTTAACCTTAGGTAGCTCCGCTACTTTCAACTACCTATTTCCAGACTGATCACTAGTCAGTGGGTGCTATTAAAATTTCCGCTGAATGTGTATGTGCTTTAGCAGATGTTGTTTACTTTTCCATTCATTCAGGATTATCAAATAGGTAATAGTACCTTCTTAATATTTTATGGCCACACCTTTTCCCATTCAAAAACGAGCTGATATAACCTACCAAAAACCCTCAAAAACATTTTCGGGTAAAATCCGGTCCAGGAAATTGACGTGTTACATCTTATTAACTCAAAACATTCCCTTTCACCCCTCCAAGAGGGTTGATAAAACAAAGAGACTAAAAGATGGCAAAAACCTCTCTTAAATTCTCACGGTCCACCAAGGCCACATATGTACAAAAACTTACTCTATGTGGTTTAAAAAGACGAAACAAATAATAATCCCTTAACAATCAGAAAATTAAAAAAAAAAAAAAAACCGATTTTGTGGTTCACAGGTATGTACGTAAATCCCTCGAATGAACTTGAAATCACAAAATAGGTCGAGAGTATCTAAATGAATTTTTCCCTTCAATTATGAGTTCCGCAACCAGCACGACTCGCTTGAAGCTTTCCATACACGAGCCGCACGAAACTGATTTCTTCTTTCTTACCTACTGATTGTGAGAAGAGCGGGAGCAATTACTTTTTCCTTCATTTATGCAGGATGCAACAAGCATGACTCTTGCGTTTGCAGAAACCCTTTCATTAAGGAGATCGCGAGAGCCTTTACCGCGTTCATTTCCAAAGGGGATTACTCCAGAATTTCACGAATTTTAATAATTTAAACGATTCATCTGTTCTTCTCTTCTCTCCTTCCGTCCATGGACAGAGATACAACATTTTTCGCACTCAGTGACGCAACCGGCTCGATGCGTAAACAAGTGTGGATTACCGTTAAGATAAAGATAAAGGAAAAAAAAAAAAAAAAAACAGAGAGTAACACTTACATCACAGCATGGGTGTGAGTTTTTTTATATCGAAACTTAATTCAAATTTTTTAAATAAACCCTCGTGTCAAATGGGAACCATTCCTTGAAAATGAAAAAAAGGAAAAATAAATGAAAACTTTTAGCCTACTCACCATCCAAATCATATGGTAAGCTTACAGTAAAGGCAACCAGGCTTTAGATGCAGCGAAGTTAATAGAAAGAGTCTGAAATGTACCTGTGTGGTAAAATGGGTCCAATACTGGTAAGACTGAAGCTGGCGTCAGGGATAAAAAGGCACAGCTTCACTGAGAGCATCGAGCCAGTCGCGTCAGTGAGTCCGAAAAATTTTGTATCTCTGTCAATGGACGGAAGGAGAGAAGAGAAGAACAGATGAATCGTTTAAATTATTAAAATTCGTGAAATTCTGGAGTAATCCCTTTTGGAAATGAACGCGGTAAAGGCTCTCGCGATCTCCTTAATGAAAGGGTTTCTGCAAACGCAAGAGTCATGCTTGTTGCATCCTGCATAAATGAAGGAAAAAGTAAATGCTCCCGCTCTCCTCACAATCAGTAGGTAAGAAAGAAAAAATCAGTTTCGTGCGGCTCGTGTATGGAAAGCTTCAAGCGAGTCGTGCTGGTTGCGGAACTCATAATTGAAGGGAAAAATTCATTTAGATATTCTCGACCTATTTTGTGATTTCAAGTTCATTCGAGGGATTTACGTACATACCTGTGAACCACAAAATCGGTTTTTGCTTTTTTTTAAGTTTCCTATTACTAAGGGATTATTTTCTGTCTCTTTTTCTTAAATCTGATAGTGTAAGTTTTTGGACGTGTGTGGCCTTGGTGGACCCCGAGAATTTAAGAGAGGTTTTTGCCATCTTATAGTCACTTAGTTTTACTAGCCGTTCTGGACGCGCTTTGCGCGTCCGTCACGGCCAGCCAAGGGGCTGCGCCCCCTGGACCCCCGATCACTCGCTACGCGAGTGACATTCGGCTCGCTCCGCGAGCCATTTTTCTCAGTGATTCGGCATTTGATCACTAAGATGTACACATTTTGGAGACTCTGGAGGCAAAAATGATTTCGTCACAGAACCTTGTTGCCGGAGCGTGCCATTATTTGCACATGAATTGATTTCGTCACAGAACCTTGTTGCCGGAGCGTGCATTCATTTGCACATGAATAGATGTGTGGACATGAAGCGATGATGGCGATCGATCATTTCTTCAAAAACGCATTTGACTGGGACGTCATCCCATCGGGTGGCGGAAAGAGACAATCCATGGATCTCCTTCCGCGATTTGACTTGCTGAAGTAGCAGAAGTTCATTTTTACCTCTTAAAAAGATTATCGGTGGCGTAGGGGTCTAAAATCTGCTCAACGAAAGTATAGTTCGAGTTCCGAATCGCAATGAGCTCACTCGTGTTTTTTTCTTAAACTTTCATGGCATTTAAACTTATCTGATGTTTTTGTTTTATTCTCTCTGATTGCATATTAGAAATTATATCCTCATTTCATTTCATTTCCTTTACCTTTCCTTTTTCCCTTTCTGTAGCATCTGTGTCCATGTACAATTATTATTTTACTAGCTGAAAGCCCGTGACTGAAGTCACGGGTCTAGATGCTTCACAAAAAATTATTAATTCAATAACGGGGAGTATTAAGCCAATATTGTGTCGGGGATGATGTACAAGCGGGATCGAAGTTCCTGCGTCGAATGGTTTCCCACAACCCGGCATACACAGCTACGGCGGCCCGCGGAATGGGTTGCGCACCAGCTCTTGAATGGACAGAGTTTCTGGTGGGGGACAGAAATAGGTGTCGTCGCGGCGCGCGGCGATCAGGGGAATCAGGAATCCCATGCATTGATCGCGTCTTTCGCTATCGGCGCGATGCGATATCGACGCGGACGTCCAGCCACTGCACTGCACTGAATCGGTCAGACAGATGAGTGTAGTGGGCCAAATAATAACTTAACGAAATCAAAGCCACTGGTGTCAAATTGCCGTTAAAAAGACCGTCCCTGAATCCTGAAAATACCGCCTAGTATACTGCCAAGGAAAACCGCCGTATGAGCCTTCAGACGATGCCACATTTCCTTTAGAAAATCACAAATTTCTGGGAAATTTTGTCAATATTGCTCTTCTAATTTATTAGAGGATTTTCTTTGTAATTAGATTAAAAGTG